TTGATGCAGGTGCACACCTGCTAAATTGATGTTGCATTTTAATATACTGTTAGTTGACCCAGCGAAGAAGCACGCTGGTTAAATAAGTAATACATGTAATCTGCTAATGTGCTTTGATACCCAATGTGGTAAGCCGATCTCTAGCATCTATTAAGAGAGTCAACCTATCTAAGGTATAGGCATACTCTATTGCAAACTGAGGACAGGACATTAATAGGTTTCTCCTTAGTGATAAATAATAGATTGATTTTTCTTTTACAGAGTTAAATCTATAATTCAGTCTACCTGTGGCTCAAACAAAGGCTTGCCGTGTGTCTCTGGGAGGAGCAATCAGTACACTTGTAGCTCATATGATGTTCTCTGCAAAACAGAGATGAAATAAAGAGAGTAGGAGAAATTCCCAGGAAAAAGTTAGTGAGGAAATAGAAAGGGTAGCCTTTTGCTAGCATGAGAAATAAAGGTTACATCGGGGAATGAAATGTGACTCTTTTTTGGAGGCGGAAGTCAGCAGCAAGCAGAAAGGGGTCCTAAGCTGTTGGGGTCCATGTTTCTCTTCTGTTCCACTACTAGAAACTTTGCCCAAAAGAAGACCAGGATTGATTTTGATACCAATGAGTGGTTTCTTATTTTCATTAAATGTTACTTTACAAAATGCAGAAGCTGAGTTCCCGTGAGCTCAGAGGGCAACATCAGGGGTTCACTCTTGAATTGCCCACAGTCTACACAGGAGCCAGCCTTGGGCTTAAGTCAATTTTCCTGTGCTGTTCTTTTTAACATCCTGTAAGCATATTGGTGACTACCCTGATTGTCGTCAGAGAGACTTCATGCAGTAACTGATGGAAACTAAGGCAGAGATCCACAGCCAAGCACTGGACCAAGCTCTGGGAATCCTGTTGAAGAGAGGGAAAAAGGATTGTAGGAGCCAAGAGGGTCAAGGTCATCACAAGAAAACCCTCAGAAGCAACTACCTTGGGTTCATAATCGCTCACAGACTCTGGACCAACAGCTAGGGAGTCTTCATGGGACTGACCTAGGCCCTCTACATATGTGATAATTGTGTAGAGTAGTTTATTTGTGGGATTCTTAGCAGTGGCATCAGGGCCTACCCTAATACTCTGGAAGACTCTTGGGAACCTATTCCCCATACTGGGTTTCCTTGCCCAGCCTTAATACAAGGCAGAGAGCTTAGTTCTACTTCAACGTGCTATGTGATGCTTTGTTGACACCCATGGGAGGCCTGCTCCTTTCTGAACAGAAACAGAGGAGGAGTAGATGGGGAAGCAGAGGGGAGGTGGGGGGAGGGAATTGGAGGAGAAGAGAGAGGGGTAACATTGGTCAGGTTGTAAAATAAATGAAAACTTTAATTAATAAAAATAAAAAAGATGTTTCCATCTCTAAATCCCTCCTGACTCTTTGAACCCTTCCTTCGGTTGGCATCTGTGCAATGAACACAGCACTATGCCCAGAGCTCTCCCTCAGGCTCAGCACGATCACTTCTACCTTCTGGGAGTTCAGTGGTTGCTCCGGCTCTCAGGGAGACTTGCTTTGGGCACTCAGGACTGCCTTCCTCAAGTCCTGTCTTTGCAAGGACATGGGTGCACAGTCAGTAAGCAGTGAACCAGGGAAAATAAGAACTGCTTCAGTCTGTGTCTCCGCATGGCAGCCTGTTCCAGAATGCTCTGTTAGATGGGTGGGAGTCGCTACACAGCCTCATCAAGGACTGGTGTCTCTCCACCCTGCTGCCTTCCTTGAGGCATGCCATCATTGCTTTCAACATAGCATACTCTATCTCTGCTTCCTAGAGATACAAGTGAAGACCTTTTGTACAAGGAGTGGTCCTGGGACGAAGACACTATGATGTCATCTTAAGGATCTTACTTATCAGTCATCTGGCAAAGACAACCTCAAAACTGGTAGTAGGTGGGCTGAGGGTACTCCCTGATGTGTGAAGTCCCAAAGCATCTCATGAAGCTGTTTCCTTGAGAACACTAATAAAATTTAAGAAAAGGATTTATTTTATGTGTATGAGTCTTTGCCTGTATGTATGTATATACACCAGGTGCATGCCTCGTAGCTATGAAGGTCAGAAGAAGGTATTGAATCCCCTGGAAATGGAGTTACTGATGGTGGTTATCCACCATTTCAGTACTGAGCACTGAACTGGGCTGAGCCGTCTCCAGCCCAGAGAACACTGACTTTTATTTTTAGTTGTGAGCCTAGCCTTTAATGAATGAAACATCTCTCTAGCTGTTGAATTTTGATTTTTAAAAGTAGACATTTCTAGCTATAAACTTCCTTCATAGGACTGCTTTCATTGTATCCTAAGAGTTTAGATACATTGTGTCTTCATTTTCTTTCACTTTTAGGAATATTGTTATTTCTTTAACGAGCTATTCTGGTGTGGGAGAATTGTCTGTATTCTGTCAATCTGTTTATTTTGAATAAACGCTGATTGGCCAGGCAGGAAGTATAGGGGGTAAACCAGACAGGAAGTAGAGGCGGAGCAAAGAGAACAGGAGTATTCTGGGAAGCAGGAAACTCCCTCCGCATTCTTGCCCAGACCACCGAGAAGCAAGATGTAAGTTGCCCAGCTGTGAAAGGTACTGAGTCGTGTGGCTAACATAGATAAAAAATAATTGGTGTGATCCAGCTGTCCTCACTCCCCCCTGACTGATAGCGGAACTTCCTTGTGGTCTGTAATTGACAAGGATGTTTGTGTTCTTTCTGGCTGGTGGATCTCCACAGAAGGAGTAGAGGTATAAAAGGTTGCTGGGCAAAATAAAGGTTGCTGTTCTTCCACCTGAAAAGAAACCTCTGTGTCTCAATCCTGAACCCCCCCCCCCCCACCACTAGTCTTGCCTATCCAGGCTGCGCTGGCTGCAGCAATAATGGGCTAACATAAGTTATAAGAGCTAATAAGTAGCCCAAGCTAAGGGGCCAATCAATTATAATCTTATGGAGTCCTCTGTGTGATTTTTCTTTGGTGCTTGCTGGTTGTGGGGTACTGGGCGGGACAGATACCCCAACAAGCAGGCCCCCTCATGTTACAAATGGTGCCCAACATGGATAACTACATCCACAGAAGCTGGCCCTCATGTTACACTATTCAGCATCCAATAACATGTTGTGTAATCTCCCTGAGTTTGTGTATTCTTTTGCATTTGATTTTCAGCTTTATTCCATTGTGGTCAGATAGAGTACAGGAAGTCATTTCAGTTTTTTGAATTTGTTGAGGCTTGCATTTTTTTCTTTCAAGATAGGGTTTTACTTTGTAGCCCTGGCTGTCTCAGAACTCACTCTGTAGACCAGGTTGGCCCATACTCACAGAAATCTGCCCGTCTCTGCCTCCTGAGTGCTGGGATTGAAGGTGTGTGCCACAACCACCCAGCAAAATATTTATTTATTATTTATCTACTTATGTAAGGATGCTTTGTCTGCACATTTGCACACCAGAAGAGGGCATCAGATCCCATTGGGCTACAGGTAGAGTTAGAAGCCATTGTGTGAGTGCTGGGAATTGAACTCAGGACCTTTGGAAGAGCAGCCTTAACTGGTGAGTGCTCTTAACTGGTGAGCCATCTCTCCAGCTTGCTTTGTGTCTTAATATGTTCTCTTTTAGAGAATGTTCTATGGACTGCTGAGAAGAATGTGTCCTCTGCAGAGTTCAGCTGGAATGTGCTGTAGATGCCCGGTAGCTCCATCTCATTTACTACGTTCTTTACTCAGATGCTTCTGTTTCTTCTTGTTAGGACTCTCTCTTTTGTGAGAGCCTGGTGTTGAGGTCACCCACTAATTGTGGCGTTGGCATTGATCTGTGACTTTATATCTACTAGTATTGTTTTATGAAATTGGGTGCATAAATTGTTTTGTCTGTGCATATTTAGAATTGTAATAGCTTTTTGATTGATTGCTCCATTAATTAATATAAAGTGACCTTTATCTCTTCAGAGTAGTTTTGGTTTGAAGTCTACTTTGTCAGGTATTAGAATAATGATACCTTCTTACTTCCCAAGTCCATTTACTTGGAATATTTTTTTCCATCTGTTCATTGTAAGGCAACAATTATACAATAATGAAATGTATTTCTTGGAGGTAGTATATAAAATTATCCTGTTTTCAATCCAATCTGCTAGTCTGTGGTTTTGTTGTTGGTATTGTTGCTGCTGCTGTTGTTTGGAAATACGGGGTTACTGTGTAGCTTTAGAAACTTGCTATGTACACCCGTGAGTTTTTGATTTGAGAATTGAAGTCATTCATATGGCTTCAGAGTTACTATTGAAATATATATATAATCTTAGTTGACGTCGTAGTGTTCGGTGTTTTTCTCTAATCTTTACTTGTCTAACTACAAAGCATCACCACTTTGTTCTTGCATCCTTTTGGTTGTGTTTGTCATTCTCCAAAATGTTCTTTTCAGTATCCTTTGTAGAGCTGATTTAGTGACCTTAAATTACTTTGGAATGCTTTAAAAAAGATTGGTTTTTTATTTTTAGTTAAGTGTATGTGCCAGTGTACTTTAGTGCAGGTACCTGAGGTTGGAGGCACTGGGTCTCCCTGAAGCTGGAATCGCATGTGTTTGTGAGCCTTCTGATGATACTAGAACCCAAGCTGGGTCTTCTGAAAAAGAAATGCATACTTTTCACCATTGGGCTCTCTTTTCAACCCCTACAATGATTCTGTTATTAAATGCCTTTTATTTTCTATTAAGTATGACAGAGAGTTTTGCTGAGTATTTGTGCTGGTTAGTTTTTTTTCCCCTAACCTGACGGAGCAAACTAATAGTGTTGTTGTCTAGATTTACTAATGTCACCTTTCATAGCATAAAATACATCACTCCAAACCCGTTTTGAATCAGGTCACTGGTGCTGGGCACATCTCTGGGTGATCCCTCAGAAGACTGATTGTAAAAGCTATCTCTGCCTCAAAGCTGCCCTTCCCATTGTTGGGCATGCCACTTGAAACCTGTGAACTTTAGTTTCAAGTAGGTTTTTGTCTCACAGAATACTGTGCTGTCGTGTTGTAAAGCCCTGCCTCTCCCGACTGGAGAACATGGATGCTCCTTCAAGCAAACAGGCATCATTTCCGTCAGAACAATTTGACTACTTGCAAGAGACCCTGGATATCAGGTTTGTTGACTGTTGACACTCCTTCACAGAAGGAGAGCGTAAGGTATATTGCTGGACCCTCATCTGGGATACTGACCACTTCCTAACTATTTTTATGCAATTATACCTAATTACCATGGTCTTGGGTCTTTGGAGATGCTGGAGCATGTGGCCTGGGGAGGGTTGAGAACTCCATCTATGTAGCTATATCACTTTCAGGCAGGGGAGAGGCTTTCTGGTGGTGAAGCTGCTTTGGAGTCATGTTCTTTGAAGTGACCTTTTACCCATGCTCTGTAAGTCAGACCAATAAACTCACCGATTCCCCCAAGTTGCACTATAGCAGAATTGTAGTTTGGTTTGTTGTTGGAGCCTTATGAGGAGGGAGTAGATTTTTGTTTATGTATCTCCAGGGGAATAAATGTAGAGAGAAGTCCTGTTGGCCTGACTTCAGGGTTTCAGTAGATATCCTTGGGACCCTTGCTGGAGATTCCTAAGAATGCAGCTCTTTCAGGATCTGGGGCTCAGTGGGGCGTTTTTTAAAAAGTCATTTTGTAGGTCCTCCTCTAGGAAAGATTTTCTCAAGGAGTCTTTTGTCTCTGCTGCTGAACATGACTTTTGTCTCCTATTATTTATGATTTTCTCTTTAAAATGTCTCTCTGGGGTGCAAGAGCACAGTACTTTTCCTAGGCTCTCTGTTTAAGCTTGGCCCCAGTCACTCCCTCTGCGATGGGGGCTTCCTCAAATTGTTCTAATCCCTGCAGGCTGCATGCTGTATTTTTCCTGTCCTGCTTTGTGAAGATTCCTCATTTACTCTGTTATCGGACTGGAAACTGTTGGCTGCCACTCATTTCTTCTGATAGCTGTCTTCCTGTTTTCCCTGGTTCCCAGTTCATTCCCTGGAGACCCTGGGAGAGCAGGCCAGTGCGTCGCCTTCCACTCTGGTTCTCTTTAACAACAAATTTCTTAGATGAAATCACTTCCTGATTTTCATCATAACCACAGAACTTTCAAAAGTCTAGATTCTTCAGAAAGTATCCTGTAAGTCTAATCTGAAAAATAGCCCATGTCAGACTCTATAACACAATGAAAATGAAGAACAATGTCGGCCACATTAAGATGGAAACCTCTTAGCCTGTAGAACACATGCGTAGAATGCATAGGGTCTAGGTTTAATCTTAGGTTGCTTATGAGGGTTGGATTTGGCTTTACATGTTTTGATCATGGGTGGAACAATGTTTGGCTGTGGAAACAGACCGAAGAGTCTGCAGGATGCCAACTGAGTCTTTAGAAGCTTTGACGATTCATCTTTTTGTACGTACTTATCACTTGCTACATTTTCTTGATTGAGTGTGGCCTTCTTAATCTCTTCTAATTTTGATTTGAGGTCTGTTTTATCTGCTCTCAGACTAGCTACAGCAGCTGGCTTTTGCTTCTGTTTGTTTGCTAAATCATTTTCTGTCTTTTGACTTTTAGTCTGTCAGTCTCTTTACCAGTAAAGGGTACATCCTGAAAAGAAGGAAAGGGTGGATGTAACCCAAGTCAGATGGTCTATGTCTCTTCATTAGTGAGCTGAGATCATATGCATTTAGAATTATTGTTGACAGATGTGCGCTCATTCCTTTTATTTTGTTGGTTGCTTTTCTAGTTGGGTGGAGTCACCCAGGATCCTGGAATTTCCTCATTCATGTTCTGACTATTTGGAGTTTGAAATGTTTCTTGCATTTGAATGTCTATTTTTTTCTTTCTAGATTTGAGAAATCTACTGGAATTTCATTGGATAGATTCTCTTTGTGTTTAGTGTTTATCTCAGATTCTCCTTGTAGCCCATGGATTTCTGGTTGAATCATTGTTGTTACTTGATATGCTATGGCTAGTTGACATCCATGGGAGGCCTGCTCTTTCTTACAGAGAAACAGAGGAGGAGGAGTGAATGGGGTGGGGGGGAGAAAGAAGGTGGAAGGAGAGGGATTGGGAGGAGAGGAAGGAGGGGAAACTGCAGTCAGGATGTAAAAACAAAACAAAACAAACAATAACAACAACAGCAACCCCCCAGAAATAATGTAAGAGTATTTTTTTAAAGTAATAAGGTAAAATCATAGTACAAAAATGTAGGGGGAGGAAACAGGATGGGGGAAAAACACCAAGAAAAAGAAAAATATTACTCAAGAATGGAAAAATACATAAAAAGTTAGATGACTGTATGAAGGTAAATAACATAAACAAAAAAGTTTAAACTTGGCAGTGGCGGCGTATGCCTTTAATCCCAGCACTCAGGAGGCAGAGGCAAGTGGATCTCTGTGAGTTCAAGGCCAACCTGGTCTTCAAGCGATAGTTCCAGGACAGGCTCCAAAGCTACAAAGAAACCCTGTCTTGAAAACAAAACAGCAGAAAACAAAAACAAAAAAGTTTAAAAGAACACAATATTGCAAAAACTTCTTAAATGTGCAGGAAAAGGAAAGGGAGAAATGAAAAAAAAAAGAGGAATCGCATGGGAATAATAAAAAAAGAAAAGATCAAAGTAGCAGTAGGGCAAGGAATGGGTGGTCAACTTTTCATCTCTTCTTGATTCTGAGCAAACAATTGGTATTCTCTGAAGGCTATATGAAATAAATGTCCCTAGGTTACATGAAGACCCTTAGGACAGGGAGCTCCTGCCCCTGGGGACAGGTGAGAAAGTCTCTGGGACTGGCCTGTGACAAGTCCTCTGAGGGTCTACCATGAAGTCTGGGATGCTTACTGTAATCGGGGACCCTTGCAGGGATCTTGAGGTCTACAGATCGACCCTGAGCTATGCTTTGCGAAATGCAGCCAGAGTCAAGTTTGTTTCTTATCTCTGGGAATAAAGCATTTGTTTCCTTCCCAAAGATCATTTTATATGTTGTGTATGTTCTTCCATTTTATTCAGAGGAATCTGGGCCGTGAGAAAAATCATCACATTGATCACCGTCTATCAACCTCTCTAGCCAAAGACCCTCTCCTACTCTGAGTCCTGCGGAATTCTGTATTGGATCAGCCCAACCCCACAGATGGATGGTTTTCTGTTCATGGCAGCTGGCTTGATAGATCAACCTAATCAATGTATAGATGCTATATTTTCAGGATGCTAAAATGTACATTTTTTCACATTCATCATCTCTGAAGTTAAATTACTTCTCACCATTGATATGTCAAAGTTTAAGCTGGGAATAATCTTTCCTTCTCTGTGTTACATGAAGTTGTGATGTCTTACAATCGATGGCATCTTAGAGTAACAGTGGGAGAGCAGAGTGTCACACAGAGTCCACGGCTGAGGGAAAGTGGGGAGCTGGACTGGGTTTTCTCATGTCTGTTCCTGATGTATGAGATGCTTGCCTCTTGAGAGGAAGATGGTTCTGTGAAGGAAGGAGTTCTTACCAAGTAAAATTGGTAGGAATATGGACACTCCCAAAGACCTTCTGGCTGCTCTCGCTGGCCAGGGAGCGCTCATTCCTGTTGAGCTGCAGGACCCTGCTCTGGGTAATCCCCTTGGATTCCTTCCCTTCTTTCTCCTAAAAAACCACAACCTGCCCCGTTTCCTAACCCCTTGGAATTCCCCCTTCTGAGCAGTAAATTCCATGAAAACATCCCATAGCAATGGACCATAATGATTTTCTGTTTTATCTTCAGTCTCCCCTCCTTCAATGTCATGTTCACTCTGGGGTCACTCTGGGGACGCATTGCCTCAATCCGAAGGAGGGACTTTTGTGGTAGAAATCACATTCTTCCATGACAGGGTGATGTTTATATTTAAAAACTTATTATTTTATGTGTATGAGTGTTTTGCTTGAATGTATGTTAGTGCACGCAGTGTCCACGAAAGAAGAAAAGAGGGCGTCAGATCCTCTGGAACTGGAGTTGCAGGTATTTGTGAATTGCTATGTGGGTGTTGGGAAGCAAACCTGGGTCCTCTGTAAGAACCACAAATACTCTTAGTCATCAGCCATTTCTCCAGCTTCCCGATGTTTATAGCACCCCTCAAATGATAACACTTAGTGGAACAGTTTAGTTTCTATATATTTTTTAGCTTTAAAAACATACATTGAAAACATTTTCTTACTAAAACTTCATGAAATCCTGTGAAATAGACAAAGCACATTTTATCACTTTTTTTTTTTCCAGTGAGGAAGCAGATGTCCAGAGAGATGAAGTGAGCTGGTAAAGATACCCAGCTGGCTAGTGGAGGAGGTGGGATCAGAATCCAGCCATTCTTATTCTGGAATCATTGTTGTTCCTCTTTCTAGGAAAGAAAGGGACCTTGTCTCGGCATTCTTCACTTTACAGTAACTCCAGGGGCTTCAGAGATCAGCGCCAGCTCAGTGTGACCCCAGGATAGTTGCTAGCCTCTGCTTTCTAGGTAGATACATGGTATGAACTGGGTCCCCTCGCTTCTGAGAGCTGTGGTCCCATGGCTGAGCAGATGGGGAGCAGTAGGACTTCTTGTAGAGGCTGTGTGTGTGTGTGTGTGTGTGTGTGTGTGTGTGTAGCCCACTACCCAAAGTGGCTCCTTGGGTGCGACAGTTTCCAGGGCTCCTGAAGTCATTGCCATTCTTATAGCTGGACCTGGAATCCAGGGCAAAAACAGAGCCAAGAGCTCAAGGCACTTAGGCATTTTCAACGATCACAGAGGAGACGAGAACTCCCTGAGAAGAAATTCCTTTGAAGACAGCAATTGGAGGAGATAGACATGGATCTTACTAAAAAAAAAAACAAAAAACAAAATACAAAAAATTTGCATGTATGAAAGACCTGGAGCTAGAAAAATGAAACAAACCCAAACAAACAGCAGCTGTGATTTTTAAATTTAAAAATCAAACAGGAAACGATCGTATTGAAAACAAAATTAATGATTTGGAAGTCCATGTGACAGAAACTTAGAATACAGATTAAAAAAATATAAAAGGAGCAGAAAGTCACAAGAGAGCACCAGCCAGAGAGCTGGATGTCAGCAGTCCCTGGTGGGGGCAGGCTGGTGACAGGCTGGTGACAGGCTGATGACAGAAGAGGTGGGCAGGTGAGAGCCGGGGACAGATGTGGGTGGGTGCTGATGGGCAGGAAGTGCTGAGGTTGTCTTCCACTTTTGGCCTTGGGAATCTGGGCATATAATGGCGCCATTACTTAAAGTGGGCTTCTCTGAAGCGCCGGCAGCTTGTAGGCAGGAGAGTGGGTGGGGAGGGGTGAGTCAGTCTAGAGGCGAGGAGCCTGAAGTGGAGATGCGTCATGGCTGTTGGGTATTTGAGCCTAGCATTCCGAGCAGTGACCTGGAAATAAGTGGGTTGGGAGTGTTCTACCTAGGTGCTGTCTACCTTGAGAGAAGGGTGTGGATGAGGTTGCTGAAGTGAGTGGGAAAGGCCAGACCCAACTGCAGGGCGTAAGATGCCAGCCTGCTCCTCCTTTTATCCCTCTCTTTTACACTCCTAACGCTGCCTGCCTGTTTTACATGGCCTTTCTTATGACTTGGCTTGGGACTTAGAAAGAAGAAGGAGAAGAAAGAAAGAGAGAAGAAATAAGGAAGAAGATGGCAAGGGAGAGTAGCTCGCAGGTACGTTAAGATGAAATAGCAGCATTACACCAGTCTGTGGTCAGCTCCACCCAATAGGGCGGGACTCCACAATGTGACAATGTAGTCTGCTGCTCTGAGTGCCCTCATGGGGAGGGGCCATGGTTGTCTTTCCTAGGAAGCAAAGGTTGAACCGACATTTACTAAACCGTCTTAATCCCCTTTAGTAATTTTATACGTAAGGAGATTGACGCTTCCCCAGAGAGTTCCCCGAGACTACGCAGGTGGGGAGCGGCAGTCAGGTGAACCTGGGGAGCTAACATGCTTTTGCTTTTGTTCTGTTCCAGGGCTGGGGGTCTTTGAACAGAATAGCGGAGTCAGCCTGAATCATGTGACTTGTGTTTTCAGTGGGCTTTTGTTATCTCAGGAAATTCAAAGATTTATGTGACCTCTTCTGGAGATAACTACACCTTCCAGTCTGACCTTTCAATCCAGGCTGCTCTCTGATTCTTGTAGGTTAGCAGCCAGCTCAGACAAAGGGAGAGAAATGAGCTGCCCTTCTTCCCGGGCATTGAATGGCTGCTTTCTCGTAAATGCCTAGAAGAAAAAAATCAATCGTCTGTGCATGGAACTCTTTCATCTGCTATTAGCTGGATTCCAAGTCATTGATAAGAAGGAAAATCCCCCAATTCATGGATCAGTATCCTCAGAGTTTATCAATTCAGAATAAAAGCGGCTGCGTCTGGGATGCTACTTAGCCATTACTCACAAAGGGAGAAAACAGGTCTTGCTTTCTACCTGACACTGTCAGGCTTAAAGTAAGTGATATTTCTCCTAACTTTATTATTATTTTTTTAAAGCTATACTAGGGCTAGGGATATTGCTTATTAGTTAAATCCTTTGCTTCCCAAGTGTGAGGACAGAGTTCAATACCCAGAAGCCATGTACATGTCAGATACGTGTGGTGACCTGCCTATAATTCCAGCACTCGGAAGCCAGAGAGAAGGAATACCCAGAGCAAGCTGACTAGTTAGAGTAGCTGAATCAGTGAGCTCTGAGTTTGATTGAGAAACCTTGCCTCAACGAATAAGGAGAACAGCAATCAAGGAAGACTCTCCACATCAACCTCAGGCCTTCACACTTGTGCACACATGTGAACACCTGTACATGTGAAAGAAAGAAAAATAATTCACACTAACAGGATCTTTGTATATGAAGCTGGTACTGGTACTCAAACTTCTCAGAGCTTTCCACGTTTAAGTCTTAACGGACATAGCTCTTCCCAATGGACTAGAACTTGTTAGAAATATTATCCTCGCTTTGGCTTGGAAACTGGTTCTCATAAAACCATCATTACAAGTCTCCCTAAAGCCTTGGCAGTTCCCATAGGGAGAGTGAGCATTCGTAGCAGACACTGGGCACTTGGCTGCTTGAGGATGTGGTCAGTGGCAGAGTGTATGCCTACTGTGCCAAAGGCCACCGGTTCACCCTAACTACCAGAGAAAACGTGAGAGCTGAGCCATGCTGATGCTTCTACTAAACTGAGCAGATGTTTAGCAAGTCCTAGCTAGCCATGTATGCATGGCACTAAAGTTACAGATGAAGGAACATAATGCTCTTTGCTCATTGCCCCGCAGTTGAGGACCCAAAAGCTCAGCTTCCAAGTAGAACGAGATATGGGTACATGGATGCAGCGCCTCTCTCTGCAGGATAATGCAAACTTGCCCTGGACTGCTAGGGTGCAGCAGCAAAGCACTTAAAATCTCTCAGCAACACAAAGAATGAGAAATCCCAACAAATTTATTAATGATGGGACATGGGTGGTGTAGGGAACCTTGAAGCCGACTCAAGATGCCCCAAGACCAAGTCTCAGCACAAAGGAGATTGCTACAGAGGGACAGAGGGCAGGGGCTAAGAGACTAAGACAGAAGATAGAGATTGAGGGAGAAGGGGAAGGAAACAAGGGAAAGAGAGCAGGGGTATTTGTCCCAGAGCGACAAAGGACTGCCTCTGGATGGAGAGGAGATAGATGTGGCCCATAGGCAAATGGTGGTTTATAAAGGTAAAATGGAAAACACTTGTTAGGATGAGGTGTTTAATTTTGATTGGGCATGTGAGTTAGGTGAGTAAAAGGGGGCCTCTGGTTGCTGGACTTTGTTGTGGAATATTCCTTTAACTGTGTAAGCATGTGTTGCTTTTGTTTATGCTGCATTTGCTTAATTGTGTAACGATGTATTATTGTTTCACCTTGTCTGCCTAAGCACCTGATTAGTCTGATAAAAAAACGAATGGTCAATTGATAGGTAGGGAGAGGGATCGGCAGAGCTGGCAGGCAGAGAGAATAAAGAGAGAAGGCAAAGAGAATGAGGGAGAAAGGGAGACACCCAGGGCTAGCCAGCTAAGCAGCTGCCAGCCAGTCAGACACAGAGTAGGGTGTACAGAATGAAAGAAAGGTAAAAAACAAACAAGCAAACAAAAAAAAACCCCAAAACCCTGAGGCAAAAAGTAGATGAAGAGAAACAGGTTAAATTAAGTTATAAGAACTGGTAGGACAAACATAAGATAAGGCTGATCATTCACTACTACTACTAAGTTTCCATATCATGACTTGGGA